TCGGCTTATATAAATTCCTCAGAATCCACTCCACACATTTTCTAAATTTTCTAACGAATGCAAGCTTAAGATGTTATCTGACGACAAAAGAGGATAGATGGAAAATCTCTATACATTTCAAAGTTACGACATGAATTTAAATGAAATTAAAAATAAAAACCAGTAAAGAAAGTCTTAAAGTCGGGCGGACCGACTTTTCGATACCCCTACACCACTTTGCTAATTTAGTAGAGTTCCACATAACAATTATAAGTTTTTATGGGAGAATTCAATAATACACGCTATGATTATAATTAAAAATTAAGGTTCAAAGGACTAAAAATGCCGAAGCATTTGTATCTTTTAAATGCGAACTTGTATTGCCCATTTGGTGAACAATTAATTTTAAATCGGATAAAGATATATATGGGAGCTACATCCAAATCTGAACCGATATTTCTGAGCTGTAGTTCCTATATTTCCCTGAATATTGTTATTACGGAGTGCATATTACGGCTGTGGGTAACAAATATAACAAATCGGATGAACAGTATATATAGGAGCTATAGCTATATCCGAACCTATCTTTACCAAATTTGACATACTAGTTTCTCGTCTCAATTCGGTCGTAAGTGCCAAATTTCATCCCATTTGGACAAACATTAGACGTTTGGTGTACAATCAAAGGTAAATCGGACGAAGTTATATATGGGAGCTATAGCTATATCTGAACCGATTTCGATCAATTTTGGCATACTTATTTTCAGGCCTAATCTGGTTGTATGTGCAAAATTCCATACCATTCGGGCTGATATTACACGTTTGGTGCATTATAAAATGCAAATCGGACGAAGATATATATGGGAGCTATATCTAAAATTTTACCGATTATCTCCAATTTCAATAGGGTTCGTCCTTGGGCCTAACAAATGATTTGTGCAAAATTGCATCTGGATTAGGGCAATAAATGCGAACTGTACTTTGTTTACAAAAATATATGGACGGACGGACATGCATAAATCGACTCAGAATGTGATTCTATGCAGATTATCAAAAGGAACTATGGGTCTATCTCGTTTCCACCACCTTGTGGTGTAGGGTATAAAAAGTTAAATAGTATCAGTCGGTTTCGCGACAGATGAATACCCTCAGCCTGTTTATTAAAATATATTTTGAATTTTTTTAATTTTCAAGATATTGGAAATTACAGAACACCAATATTGTTCATTTCGCATCTGACCTAAGCCTAATATAGAGAACTTCCTACACGTTATATGAGATATATGTATATATTTCTTGAAAAAATTGAACTTTTGTGGGGATGGTACCGGAATAAATTTTGCAAACGTTACATTAGTTCAATGGTTGATATTTACATTGAGTTTGCAGAAAATCGCAAACTTCTTTTGCATGCGAGTTATTCAAAATTTTCATAACTGATGGTGGAGGTACAAGAGGGAGTGAGCCGACGGATTTCATAAGGCGTTGCTTTTATAAACGAATTTTATAAGGTTTATAATTTTTCCACATTTTTAACCCTGTATGGGGGAGGCATTCAGAAGGAGTGGGCTCAGAAATCCCATATTCACATCAGATCGAAAATATAATAAGTTTGAAGAGTATCGCTTACTTGTTCCGCATATTATAGGGGTTATATTTATTTAATATTTTGAACTTATGTGTGGAAGGTACCAAAAGCAGTGGTCCGCTTTATTCCATCTTTATACCAGATTTTACAATGCGAAAAGTATTTGTATGTGTGAAATTTGATAAAAATCTGATGTATATTCCGCATTTTATGAGCGTTTTAGGTATCCAAAATGTTGAGGTACAAGAGATCTTCTTTTGGTACTGAAATGTGTGAAGTTTGGAAAGATTCGAATGTTTAATTCGCATTTTATGGGCGTTTTGGTTATTCAAAATTTTGATCCTTTGTGGGGGGATACCAGAAAGAGTTGTCCGCTATATCCCATCTTTACAGCAGATTTTATATTGGTAAAAATATTTGAATTTGTGAAAATTGAAGTGAATCTAATGCATATTTCGTATTTTATTAGAGTTTTAGATATTACAAATTTGGACCCCTTGTGGGGGAGGTACCAAAAGGGGGGATCCGCTATATCCGATATTCACGCCAGATCTTGTTTTGATAGAAATATTGGGATGCGTAAAGTTTGGAAAGATTCGAATGTTCATTTCGCATTTTATAAGCGTTTTGGTTATTCATAATTTTGGGCCTTTGTGGGGGAGTTACCAGAAGGAGTGACCCGCTATACTCCATCTTTACACCAGATTTTATAATGGTAAAAATATAGGAATTTGTGAAAATTGAAGTGAGTCTGATGCATATTTCGATTTTATGAGTGTTTTAGATATTGAAAATTTTGCCCCTTTGTGGGGAAGTTACCAGATGGAGAGATCCGTTATATTCAATCTTCACCCCAGATCTTGTTTCGCGTAGAAATATTGGGATGTGTAAAGTTTGGAAAGATTCGAATGTTCATTTCGCATTTTATGGGCATTTTAGTCATTCCAAATTTGGACCCCTTGTGGAGGAGGTACTGGAAGAAGTAGTCCGAACATGTCCCTTCTCACACTAAATCCTGCAGTAATGTATTAATTACGATTTGCAAAGTTTGAACAAAATCAGATGATCCCTTCACTCCCTATGCAAAAAATTATTTTCTATGAAAATTTTGACTTATTGTGGGGGAGGTAGCAAAAGGAGTGGACCGATATTGCAAATCTTCAAACTCGATCTACGTTTGACTAAAATATTACGATGTACCAAGTTTGGACCGAATCGGATACTAACTTGGAAAGTTATTGTGCGCCAGTCGGACGGACGAACATCGCTAGATCGACTCCAAATGTCCTGAAACGGTTTGATCCAAAGAGACCTAGGGTCTAAGACCGTTATTTCGACTAGACACGTTTTGACCATATCAAATGATAAATACCCTCTCTAGCCATATGGCTGAGGGTATAAAAAATTCCATGTGGATTTCCAATCCAAGACTTTATGAGAATAAATCATATTATATGAATAGAAACATTTTTTAAGAAAAATATACCAAAAACATCTAATCTCGATTCCCAGTTAAAAATTTATTTTCTGAATAGTTTGCGTTGGCCCCCTTTTATACCCTACAACACTATGTGTTGGGGGTATTATAAGTCTGATTGGGCCAAAAATTATGTAACACCTCGAAATATTGGTTTCCCACATAGGAAAGTATATATGTATCTTCCTATCTCGCCGAGCTGAGTCGATCTAGCTATGTATGTCCGTCCGTCCGTCTGTCCGTCTGTCCATGTTAATTTGTAATCAAGCTACAGGTCGCAATTATGAACCGACCCTCACGAAATTGAGAATGGAGGTGGGGTTAGGGTCAGAATAGAACCCTATTGTTTTTGGAGATGATCGCACGATATTTAGGGGTTGAAATGGATTTTCCTGATTTTGCAGTTGCTCTATAGGTCACAATTATGAACCAATCGATGCGAAAGTTTACATGGAGTTAGAGTTTGGGACTGGGCAGAAACCTTCCAATATGAGCGGCCATCGGACAATAATTAGCGGGTAAAATAGACCCTTTCTTTTATATTAGAAAATAGGAAAATTTCCACTTAACCGCGAATATTTTTAATCCCAGCCAAATCACAAATACCTTAAAAGATCACTTCTGACCATTACAGTGATGCCAAAAAATCGGATATATAGCAAAATAGGTACAATATATATGTAAAAGAATTGATTTTATTTATTCTGCTTATAAATCAAGAACCGCTGGGCGGATTTTCACAATACACATCAATTCAGAATGGTCTCTTGAAAGATAAAATCTAAGAAAATCGCGGGATAATATACCAATAAAAAAAAGTTATATCTTTTGTTTAATTTTCATTTCTCCATTTTTGTCATATTTTTTTATCACATGCGATTTTTTCAATTTGAATTACAATTTTAAATTTTTAATTTTCTAAATTTTTTACACCCCCCAACACTACATTTTGAGGGTATTATATGTATGTCGCAATTATCGTCCGATCCTCACGAAATTTTGCATGGAGGTGGGTCGAAATTGAAGCCTATTGTTCTTAGGTTTTGCATTTAGAGGTTTAAATGGCTAACAATTTTAAATTTTTCTAATTTGGCCACAATTGAAAACTAATCGACACGGAATATCGCATCGGAAGAGAGTTGAGGACAGAGAAGAAGTCTAGCATTTTGGATTACCATTGGATTATATTTAGCTGTAAAATGGACCACAACTTTCGTGTGCAAATGCTCTTTGGCATTATTTCAAAAACGAAATCTTTGAAAATGGATTTGCATATAAAGGGACTTCGAACATATTGTAGGGTATCACATGGTCAGCCCCGCACGACTATAGCCTTTGCTTACTTGTTATTTATAGTGTTTAATTTCCCATTATAATATAACCAGAGCATTTTCATTAAAGAGTTTAAGAAGCTGAAAACATTTAAATAGATTAGGAAAATGATTATTTTTATGAAAGACTAGTGTATAAAAAAATAAAATTAAGTGTTTAAATGATCAAATTGTTTTCTTTGGAAGGCTTGTGATTCATACCATTTTGTTTTTTTTTTTTTTTGGTATATAATACAATTATAACTTAAATTACATTTTTTTTTGATTTTAATTCTAAAAAAAAAACAATAAATAAATAAATAAAGAGAGTGTCTTTTTTTGGCATTGTTTTATTTTGTGTTTGTGTGTGTGTATTTGTTGGACTTATTCAATTCTATGTACAAACATACAAATAAGACAAAGAAATTAAATAAATTATTCTACTAAAATTAGGTTTAGATGTATGTGAGTATGTCATTTTTAAAATAACATTTAAAGATAGAAATGAATAAAAAACAAAAACATCAATTATATATATATACTATTAATTATATTTTCAAAATTAGATATGAAAAAATTATTTAATTTTCAAAATATTTTATTATATTATTTAAATGTGTTTGGGTGTGTGTGTGTGTGTGTGTGTTTAAATCTCACTCGTTATCACGTGTAAATATTAAAATTAAAAAAGTTAAACAAATTAATTTAAAAAATAATTTAAAAATATATATAAATCAATAAACATATATGTTGTATATGACTAGTATTGTTATAAAAATAAGACATTGAACAACGCTTAGAGCCTTAAATCTTTGGCAAGAAAATAAGTACTTTAGACTTTTATTTTTTACTAAATTAACATAAAATTGAGACTAAATGTCATTTAAATAATTTCCAAGTTTATGCTCTAACTTGTTGTTGTTGTTGTCGTTGACATTGAAATGCTGTTTCAAAATTATTAGCTATAACAAAAGTTTTTTATTTTATTTTTTTATTTAACTTAGTTTACCAAGTTTTTTCCTTCTCACTTAGCTGGCCATTTGTGTGTCTGTGTGTTGTAAGAAAAAATATTGAAATTATTATTAATAAATTTTAGTTTTTTTTTTTTTGTTTTTTTTTTTGCTTTAGTGGCGATTGTCATTTAACATTTTTGTTTTCTCTACACATTATCTATGATTTTTGCTTTTAATTTTTTTTCTTCTATTTTGTTGTTTGAAATTTCTTAGGGTTTTTGTTGTTGTTGTTTCTGTAGGAATATTGGATTTTCTTGAATTTGTATTTTCACCTTTTGTTTTATTAAATCTTTTGTTATGGTTGTTGTTGTTGTTGCTGGGACTGGTGCTGTTGCTGTTGCTGTTGTTGATTATGTTGCTGTTGCACGGCATGATTTTGATTATTTGTAATTTGTACCGAGGTTTCATTGTCCGTAACACGATGGGTCTTCATGTGGGCACTGCGACTCTTAATTTTATTGAATACTCTGAAACAAAATTCACAATTGGCAGAAGGGGAAAAACCAAGAGACTCATTAATTGATAATATTTGAAAGGCAAATGAAATTATTTTAGATAAAAAATAGAGTTTTTTTCAGTTCAAGAAAGCCTTAAAAATACAACGGCAGGGGCGTTTTTTTTTGGAATAGACATGCATAAAATAATTTTTCTAAATTATAATTAAGATTTTTTGCCAATTTCATTTTAAAAAGACATTTATCAAGCGTTTGCATGCCAACAGCAAGATTTATTAAGAGTTCTATATGTTTTTCGTAATTATTTTTTTTTTTTTTGGTTACTTATCTGTGTTTTTGTTGCAATGTTGAAAGGCGTGGACAGAGAGCAGGTGATAGTTAAAAATGATTTTTTTATAAATTAAACTTAAATGAACGGGAAGTTGAAGTCGAAGGAGAAAAGTGTGAAAAAAAAAATATAAACATAGAAAAAAAAATGAGAGGATGACATTAGAAAAAAATGAGGCATCAACTTCGGCCGCGTTATAGATATTTCAACCTAAATAGAAATGGAATTTAATATAGTCCCATATGGGCAATTTATTTTTATTTTCAGATAAATGATTCTTGAAATATTTGATATCCGTGTGTTTTCTAAGCATATGCAATACAAGGCTAATTTAAAATTTTTCCCAAGAGATATACAATCCCAAAGTCGGATATATATTAAGATTAAAATGTTTAAAATTAATATGTAGATCATTGGACGTTAATATGGCTACAGAGGGTATACATTATTTGATACGGCCAAAACGTGCATCATTGAAATAACGGTTTTACACCCTAGATCTCGTTGGATCAAATCCCTTTCAGAACATTTGGAGTCGATCAAACAATGTCTGTCCGTCCGTCTGTCTGTCTGGCTGGTGCGCTCGATAACTCTCGAAGGGAGTATACGATTTGATCCAAACTTGGTACATCGTAATATTATTGTCAAACTTAGATCGAGTTCGGAGATTGGAAATATCGGTCCACATTTTCTGGTACCTCCCCCACAAAATGTCAACATTTTCGAAGAAAATAATTTACTGCACAGAAAGAAAAAGGATAATCAGATTTTGCTCCAACTATGCATATCCTAATATTTGCATCAGTGCTAGGTCAGGTGCGAAAATTTACAATAGTGTTTACTCCTTCCGGTACCTTCTCTACAGAGGGTGAGATTTTTGAATATTCATGAAGTTCATAAAACGCGAAATTAACATATATCTAAATATTTGGCTAACCCAGTATTCTATAAATAAATGCACATCAAAGACAATTATCTCTCTGCAACATTCTTATTACAATAGTTTACAAACATGGTATATGGAGTATTTAATAAAAGTACAGATCCTTATTTAAAAACCCCTAATGGAGTTTTGTATTAGCTTCGATTTTGTGACCTCATCTAAAACTGGCTAAACATTTAGTTGTCTCAACAAGGCGGAGATTTATCTTTAAAATCAATTCCAATTTAGCTTTGTCCTTATCCTCAAAATAAGGATTTGACGAAAATATGTATAAAAAACAAGTTAAGTATCAGACGGTTTTGCCGACAGATGTATACCATTAGCCAATGTCCGTAGATTTAAATATATTTTGGCTTGCGTTATGATTTTTCAAAATGTTGATCCTTTGCGGAGGATATTCTGGAGGAGTGGGCTAATACTGTCATTTTTGTATCTAACCTAAGTTGTTATAAAATTTTCAACATGCTAGATTTAAACTATATCGATATACTCCCTTCACTTCTATTAAGTTAATTATTTTCTTTGAAGATTTGGACCTGTTGTTGAGGAGGTATCATTATGTATAGTCCTTATTTACAGCCCATATTGATACGCAAAGGACTAGTTTTCGACAGGTTCAAATGAGGTATTCACATTAGCTGGTTTTGGTAAAATTTCAAATCTTTAAATCTGTAAGAAAAAGCCAAAAGTCGGACGCGGCTATATGATACCCTACACCACTATGCATATTTAGTAGAGTTTCCGTAACAAAAGTATTTCTATTTGACTTTAGAGCATATTCAATTCTGAATCGAATATTTTTAACAAATTTGACGGAGACATTTGTATCTGTTATGCCAACTAACATTTCTATAGAGTGCATGATATCTCTTCGTTAAGGATTGTATTAAAAAATAAATATCGGAGCTGAGTTCCACCAAGTGGGAACGTACGTCACGAAATTTATCTCTTTTGTGTTGATATTAGCCATTATTCGCACAATAAACCTGAAATCGGCTTTAGGATTATATATGGGAGCTATATCCAAACCTGAACCGATCTTGATAAAATTTAGCAGAGGTATTTCTGGGCTGTATCTGATATCTGGTACCAAAGATTTTTGTTGTGGGGTGCATATTAGGCATGTAAGGGACTTTAACACCAAATCGGATGAAACATATATGTGAGAGCTATAGCCATATCTGAACCGCTTTTCACCAAATTTGAAGTACTTGTTTCTAGACGGAATTCGGTCGGGTGTGCCAAAATTCAGTACTGATATAGACCGTTTGGACTGACATTGGTTGTTTGGTGCACAATAAACGTGAAGTCGGTCGAAGATGTATATGGAAGCTATATCCAAATCTTAGCCGATCTCGATAAAAATTGGCAAAGGTATTTTGGGGCTGTAGTTGATACCAAATATCATTATTGTGGTGTGCATATTACGAATGTGGGGACATTAATACTAAATCGGATGAAATATACATGTGCGAGCTATAGCTATATCTGAACCGATTTTTTCCAAATTTGATGTACTTGCTTCTAGACTGGATTCGATTCGGATGTGCCGAAATTCGGTTGTTTGAACTGATATTGGCCATTTGGAGCACAATTAAAACGAAATTGATTGAATATACATATGGGAGCTATATCTAAATAATGAACCGATTCTCACGAATTTCAGTAGGGTTCGTCCTTGGACCAAAGAAATATTGTTTTAAAAATTTAATCTCAATCGGATAATAAATGCGACCTGCATTTTGTTCACTAAAATTGATGGATAGACGGACTGACATGCATAAATCGACTCAGAAAGTGATTCTATTTATATTCTCGAAAGTACCTTTGGGTCTATCTCGCTTCCTTCTCCATGTCACAAAGACATAATACCCTTACCATTATGTGGTGTAGGGTATAAAGATAGGGTTGTTTAACATCGGATTTTTATACCCTCCACCATAGTATGGAGAGTATATTGAGTTTGTCACTTCGTTTGTAACACCTCGAAATATATATTTTTTGATAAAATTTTACTCAAATGTATATTATTTCTGCGGGACTTCTGGAATTGAAAATAGGTCATGTAGGTCCACGTTTTGGTACCTCCCAATTTTCGGTATTTTGGTGATTTAGACGATATATTCACCGGAAATGTTTAAAATTTGGTACTTGAAGTTCGCAAGGGATACTACAGCCTATGAGAGAAAATTGTCTGTGCAGGTCCACGTCTTCGTATAGCACCCATATAACGGTACCTCGCGATGTTAGATATTTTATCGATTTTAGCGACATTATTCACCGGGATTGTTTCAAATTTGGTATTTGAAGTTCACAGGCAGGTCCTCGTGTTGGTATAGGCCCAATATAATAGTACCTCCCTATGTTCGGTATTTTAATGATTTTAGCTACATTATTCAGCGATTTTTTTTTTTCAAGTTTCACATTTGAATATTGTAATGGCTTATGACAAAAGTTGCCTGTGCTGTTCCACGTCGTCGTATAGACCATAATATTAGCCATAATTTTCGGTATTTTTAAAATCTTAAAAGAATTTTTAACGGATTTTTTTTTTCTTTGTAAAAAATTCGTTTTTAAAAACGCGTTGATATAAATATTTATTGCAATATTTTGCGTTTTACAAACTTTTGCTAATAATTACCCCTTTTATATGCGAAAGTGACCCAAAATATTATGTCAAACGCGATTTTTAACCGGAATTCAATAATTTTTGGAATGCTTTAATCAATGCGCTTTTACTTATTACTTATTAAGTACATATTCAGAACTAGGGAAAGTCGAGTGTTGGAAATCGCATTCAGAAGACAAAAGTGAGAGAGGGAGGGAGTGAGAAAGCAGACTTGTGTAGTTATGAAATTCTGTTTCGAATTATTCAATATGTAAAACTATAAAAAATAACAAACAGCGAAATTTTCTTAATTCTTTTTGTGGATATATACAAAGTTGAGAAAAAATTTCGGAAGTAGTCATAAAAATTACCAATTTTGGGGAGTTGCTTTCATTATCAAAAGAAAAAAGAACATAACATGGAGAAATTTAGAATTGGTGATTAAAAATAAATCTTTAGAGATTGTATTGTTGTTGCTGGTGAGGAGGGGGCGTAATGAGAAAACAGAAAACAAAACTTAACCATTCTGGTAAAACTTACAATTACAATCCAAGTTGCTGAAGAGTTAGGCTGGTCTAATTTATTTATTTTGGTGATTCTGATTGAATACATTTATTTGCGATCTATCAATTTGTGAATTGTAGGTATTTTCATAAATTGTTTATCTTTTTTTCAGTTTTTGGTTGGGGGGTGTAGTTGTTGAACAACAACAACAGGATTTAATGTTGTACTAATTTACTTTGCGACGTTGAAGTGTTTTTCTTTTCTTTTCTTTTCTTTGCTTTTATTTTCTTTTTATTTCGATTTGGTTTTCAACGACTTTGTTTAAAAACTTCTATGAGCTGTGAATTTTCGCTTTTGGATGTTCATTTTTTTTTTTTTTTTGGTTTGTTCAATTTAAAAAAATTGTATAGAAAATACATATTGAAAAAATACAACAACAAATAAACAACAATTATTAATATTTATATACGTTTTTGTGAACAAAGCTAAAAATGTAAATGAAATTGGTAAATATTTTTTATAAGAATTTACATATCAGGGAAACAGAAAATTAATTTATATATATTTGTATGTATATAGTATGGGCTAGGGTTTCATCTAATAAAGCAACGAGGGTTTCTTCAACAAAC